AATTTTTAGAATAATATTTTAATCATTATATATATATATATATATATATATATATTTTAATTGTTAAAATTTTAAATGTTTAATGTAAGTAAATATATTAAATTTTTATACATATAAACATATTATGAATGGTTAAAATAAAAAGATATCTTATCTACATTCTTATCTACATTAAATGTATAGATAATGCTTATCCATAACATTTATTGCATGGTAACTAAGTTGTAATGGGAAGTAAAAATCCAACTAAATGATACAAATTCTCCATCAAATGCTAACTAAGTAATCATTACCAAATTTGCTATAAATAGGCCATGTGGTGGGGGAATATAGAACTAAGAAATTTTGAGAAGAGAGAAAGAGAGAACTTACGGAGAGAAAGAATATTAAGAAGGAAGAGAGAAAAAGAAAAAGAAAGAAAGGAGAAAAAATATATACACAATTTTAGAGTACTTCCAAGTCATTTCATTTTTCTACTAAGGTAAGGGGGAGGAGATCTTTATCCTTTTAAATTCTATATATTATTATGTTTATCTATTTTGTTATATCTATGTGTATTTACTTAGTGAGGTATCCCTAACCTTATTTATTTGCTTGATCTATGATACTTTTTACTCTAAATAATTAATAAGGTGTTGTTAGTTTATGTTATTTAATTATTTTATGATATTTATCACTGTCATTTTACTTGATTAATATTCTTTAATACATTCCATTTACGTAAACTACATTACATTAAATTTTAAATAATTAAAAATACTCAAACTTATTTATCTTAATTATTTTTATATTAATATTAACTATAATATAGTTTGGTTAAAATATCCTAAGCTCACCTTGTTGTTATTTCTTCATACAGTATAAAGATAAATGTTATTCTATGGCCATAAGAAATAAAGTTTGAATTAATTTGTAGTTGGATGTTTAACCTTGAGGATTTAAATGAGTAAGGACTTAAGGTGAAATATCCTTTTGTTGGTTGATATTATGATGCTCATTTATCCTGACTAGTTACTACTAAAATAATTCAAATTTTATCATAACAAGACAGTCTAAAATATATTTATATGTATAAATATTTACATATATATTTAATATTGGTTATAAATAATTCTATACATTCTATTTAAATATTTGTATTTATTGAATATTTGTTCTCACTCCTTATTTTTTTGTTTTTAAAATTAAATATATTATAAAATAGATGGATCTACTCGCGATTCCAAGTCCTTTTATAGTTGTTAATACTATTTCAAAATATTTTTACCCAAATAGCAACTGTGCAAATTTATTTCCCCAACTAGCACCGTTTACTATTCACGTTCAGAACGGGCCGTTCTAATTTCAGAACGAGCCGTTCCAGATTAAAAAATAACACATGACGAATAGATCAGAACGGACCATTTCAGATTCAAAATTAGCATATAAATAAATTTTTTTTTCTTTCGATTTTCACTTGTCAAATACCAAAAGTCAGAAACTAACATCAAATAATTAAATTTATTGAATATTAACATTATAAATATAACTAAATAAATTTATTAAAATTCAATACAACAATAAAGATCAATGGTGGTGGAAACTGATTATATTGTTCTCTAATGTCCATCTCTGTAAATCTCCCAGCAGGTCATGCGAGCAAGGGATATGAACTTTCTGAAACTTGCCACAATCATACCACATTTCATTTAGCCTTACTGTAAATCTCCCAACGGGTCATGCGAGCAAGAGATATGAACTTTCTGAAACTTTCCGCAATCATACCACATTTCATTTAGCCATACTGTAAATCTCCCAACGGGTCAAACTTCTCTCAGGTATTGCGTTTCTTCAAACTTTGTGGCCAAATCCAAAACTCAAGAGAACTTTCAAGGGTCAGCCAAAGTCTAGTAGGATTAGAACATAGATGGACATTAGAGAACAACATAATCGTGTAAAAAATTGTTCCTATTATCACACCCCTGGTCACACATTAGGAAGACATATCCAAATATTGGTCATGAATTCAATTTTCGCCACCATTGATCTTTATTGTTGTAATGAATTTTAATAAATTTATTTAATTATATTTATAATGTTAATATTCAATAAATTTAATCACTTGTTGGTAGTCTCTGAGTTTTAGTATTTGATAAGTGAAAATCGAAAAAAAAATATGGTATGAATCTATAAGCCAGAACAACCCGTTCCAGATTCAGAACGGCTCGTTCTGGTTCCACTTTTTATGTGCTAATTTTAAATTTAGAACGACCCGTTCTGATCCATTCGCCATGTGTTATTTTTTAATCTGGAACGGCTCGTTCTTAAATCAGAAAGGCCTGTTCTGAATGTGAACAGTAAATGGTGCTGGTTGGGGAAATAAATTTACACAGTTGCTATTTGGGTAAATTTTTTTAAAATAGTATTATTTGAGTAAAAAACTCATTTTCAATCTATATATATATATATATATATATATATATATATATAATATACGTATAATATTGGGATTAATATTTATACGACTAGACGTTACAGTATTTGATTTATTTTAATTGTTATATGTAATTTGATATTTTTTATGTAGTAAATATGTTAAAAGAACTATTATTATCATATTACATATTTATTTTATTATGTAATAAATTTGAAATTTATTGTGCAACAAATCAAACAAAATATGTTATAATTTGAGATTTATTTTATCAATTAACTACACTAATTATGTGGGTCATTTAAATATTGTGAAAGAAATATGTTGAAAGAATTGTTCAAAATAAATAAACATCTTTTATTTTTATTTATTTGGTGGATTGGCTAGTCGACTCATCAGCTCATCCTTAGGTGAGACATGTTAAGGTGTCTAGCCCGTTTTTACTTGGGGAATTAATTTTTCTCAACCCATTTTGGGTAGACTGACAATAGGATGAGGTTTAAACAAGCTGAGTTAGCCCATTTTACTATTCTTAATAGTTTTTAGCCACATTTTTTTTATTATTTTTAAGTTATATAATAAATATATCTCTCTTTTCTACTAAGTTGAGAAAGTACTTCTAATGACATATATTTTAGTTCAATTTTACTTTCCAACCTATTCGCTAAAGCTGTAGTAAGCAATTTCTACTACCATCTTTAATAATAATTACTCCCTATTCTAACATACAATTTACAAAGAATTGGTACTCTTTTTATAAGGTATTTTACAATTTTTTATAAAGCAGTAGTTGTAATTTTTATTTTATGCCCCTATAAAAAGGTTGTATGAATAAGTGTTTTTCTCTCTCACTTTTTAAACTCTCTAATTATTATCTATTATTTTTACTGATATTGGTAATTTCTTTAGCTCTCATGAAAATTTAATGACAAATAAAAAGAATAAAATTAATAAATCATAATTTCTTTTATAAATCCAAAAATAACAAGTAAAGATGATAAAATTGATAAATTGTAATTTAACTACTTATATTAATTTGTGAGATTTGGTGAAAAATGCAAGGATTGATAGAGTATTAATTAGGTTGTTATGCACAAGAATCATTTTTCACAAGCAAATAAAAAATAACTAAAAGCGGATGGCAATTTTAGAATTAATAAGTGAAAACAGAAAATAAGAATACAGGCTTAAAAAGTTAAGAAAACTATATAAAAACGTTTTGTTAGTAAAATTCTTAAAAATATTTTTATTAAAAAATAATTCTTAAAAGCATTATTATTTAATATAGTTATTATATTTATATACAAAGATGATTTCTTTTGAAAGGATACAAAATATGATTTTTAATAAAAACAATTTATGTAAATTAAGTCTATACAACATTTTTTTTATTCTAGCTCTCCCTCTCATAGAAGGATATTCATCGTATTAAATTCATGTTGCACGAGGGGTGAGTCACGAGTACCCTTTTCTCTAAATTGCTTGTCCCAATTAACAAAAGAAAATGTGAAAAAGTGGAGAGAAAGTGGCTTTTCCTAACTATATCTACAATAATATCATCGGAGTCTAAGTACATCTCTAATGGAAGCAACTTATTTGAGTTGCTTCATGCATTGAAAAATGAAAAAAGTGATCCTGAGTGTGTCATGTCAGTATTAAGCAACTTGAATACAAATTTACTCTAATGGTAAAAAATTTTAAGAAATTCAACTTTTAGAATTTTTTTTCTAATCATTTATGAACCAATTTTAAATTTTTATTAAAAAGAGTAATTACACTACAATGAAAGAAAATAAAATACGAGAAAAAATACACAATAAGTAGATATTAAAAATAAAATAAAATAATAATAAATACATAGACATTATACAGAATTAATTTTCATCATTATTATTTTTGAAACGTTCTCAAATATGTTCAATAAAATTTGCTTGAAATCTGGTAAGGAACGGTTGCTTGAGGAAGCAACTCTCTCTCTTCTTCAAGCAACTCATGTTGTCATGTCAGAGTCCTCCAATGATAAGAAACCGAGACTTGAATTGTTTCATGAGGCAAACAACTCCCATTAGAGTTGCTCTAAATGCTCCAATTATCATGCTTACGTGTATGCTCTAACCTTCTTTTCCTATAAATACCCTCTCTGTTGGTGTATGACCTCACAGTTTAATATTATCTCAACATTTCCTTAGGTTTAGGTGCATTCAAATGGCTGGGATTGTACTCATTTTTGACTTTGACTCAACAATCATTGAGTGTGATAGTGATAATTGGGTGCTTGATGAGACTGGTTTAACTCAAAAGTTCTATCAACTTCTTCCTAACATGCCTTGGAATCCTCTAATGGTTTTCTTTTATTTTTGAACCTTATTTCTTTTCATGTCTAGGTTATATATATATTTTTTAATTTTGTTTTTCCTAAAACTTTGTAGGATAAGATGATGAAAGAACTTCATTCAGAAGGGAAAACCATTGAAGACATTATAGAAATTCTGAATAGGACTCCTATGCATCCCCGCATTGTCCCTGCTATTGAGGCAGCTCATTCTCTTGGGTATTTCTCTCATTCTCTTTCAGTTTCTTTGGTACATTTTTTTTAATATGTAAGAATTACAATAATAATAATAACAAAATTTAAATTTAAAACTTTTTACATATCACTTTAATCTCTCATAACTATGTTAACATTAGTGATTCTTCTTTGTTACATGTTAAATGTGCCTTTTTGCTTTTGTTGGTTGGATGGAGATACTAAATAATTCTTATGGAGTTGTATTCAGGTGTGAGTTGAAGATAGTCAGTGATGCAAATGTTTTCTTCATTGAGACAATTCTGAAGCATCATGGAGTATGGAATTGTTTCTCAGAGGTCATTGCCAACCCCAGCCATGTCAACGAAGGGAGGCTCAAGATTTGTCCATACCATGATTATCTCAAATCTTCTCATGGATGCAATCTTTGTCCACCAAACATGTGCAAGGCAATTGCATTAATTCCTAATATCTATTTATTTATGGCCAAGATATTAATTATCACATTTATTCTGCTTACATATAGTTAATTAATCACTTAAGTTTTTGTTATTATGCTTTTGAACCCCAAATAAACCTACTATTTTGCTTCCTCAGTAGTCAATATTTCGCTAATTAACAATAACACAGAATCCAGTTACTGGAGATGCTTTTGGTGAATTTCACTTTTGATAATATTAAATTAATATAGTACACTTTGTGATTATTGACCTCACATCCATCACTTTTCTGTTCTCTGTCTGTCTGTCATATGTATGTTACAATCCAGGGGAACCATGCAACGTGCATTAATATTTGACAAAATTAGCCTCTGTTTACGGTTTTTATTTATAAAATTATCATTTTATTTCCCATTTTTCATGACTTGTATAGGAAACAAATAGAATAAGAAATAAAAACACAACCTTTAAGTCTCAAAAAAATTCAATAAAATGTAAGATACTTCCTAGAAAAACAAAAATTCATAAATATTCTTTGTTTGTTTAGTTGTCAATATTGCTCTATAAATAATTTACTTGTTGGAAGTTTTTTTTTACCTCACTAGTTCTCTAATGGTATATAGGGATTGGTGATAGAAAGGATCCAAAATTCCCTTGAAGCAGCAGGAAAGAAGAAAGTAATCTATCTTGGAGATGGAAGTGGAGATTTTTGCCCTAGTCTGAAGCTCAAAGATGGTGACTATTTGATGCCAAGAATGGACTTTCCATTGTGTGATTTAGTTTCAAAAAATTATAACAATATAAAGGCAGAGGTGCATGGTTGGAGAGATGGGAAAGAGCTTGAACATTTTCTTCTCCATCTAATCAACAAAGCTATTGGTGAAGGAGACAACATTAACAACTCCACTAGAAATGTCTCTGTAATTGATTGCAAGTTGGAGTCAATTCCAATTGACACTCATCAACCTTTGCCAAAATCTCTTTCATTTCCTCATTAAAGGTTTTTTTTGGATATAAATTTCGAATAAATTTGAGAATTTCTTTATTAAAAATAGTTTTTTTAATAAAGAAACTTTTAAATTTGTTATAGTATCCAAACATGTTTTATATAAGTTAGAGTAGTCGTTGCTTTTGCGGGGGATGAAGGATGTTAATTTGTTACTAAAGCTATTATATAGTGTCTTGTAGCCCTCAAATATGAAAAATAAGAGCCATTATATAGTCTCTTGTCAACTTCTGAATTATTTTAAAGTACTGTTGTTGCATTATAAGGTAATGTATGAGGCTGTGGTTTGGTCCTCGATGATAATAAAAATATGTTGTGTTGAATGAAAGTATAAAAGGCTAAAGTAATTTGTGATGCGTGCCCATTGTTAGATAACATTTTGTCTTAATAAAAACTTGAATTATTAGTTGAAAAGTTAAGAATTAGACTTTTTTTTAATCGATTTTTTTTTTGTTTGAAGCATAGATGAATGCATTATTGGTTCATGTTAAAATTAGTGTAAATACCAAAATTGTGATTGAGAGGAAAAAAAAAAACAATACCATGCAATATCAAGTCAACCATCAAGCTGGGGATTGATTCAAGTGACATTAAATGTAAATAGACCCCCTAAGTAGGAAATTCGTTAATCGAATTAGATTTAGATTACATGGTTACCTAAAAAAAATATAGATTTGGATGCTCTCATTTTTATTTAATATTTTGATAAAAAAATTAAAAGTATACACAAATATTCGTATTAAGATAAATTATTATCGGTGTAAAACTTTTTTTTTTGTTGCGCTGATAAAGAGGTATACTGTATACATTGACACACTTGTCATTTTGAATCTTCATATACTAAAGAAGAATTTTCACTTTCACCAACGGATTAAGTTTTAATTTTACATACACTAGCTGACTAGCATTAATAGATTAGAAAAGGGTATAAAATTGATAGAAAATGCTAACAATATACTCTTTATCACACCCTTTTAATCATACTTTCGTTAAAATTTATTGAAAAATATAATTTTAGTAGATTTTACATTCTATTTATAGTAACTTTCTCTCCTATTTTTATGATTTTTTTTTAATAAATTTTAATATTTAAGAGTGAGTATGCTAGGCACTCCCCAACATCTATTCCAACATATATACCTCCTCCAATCTTCTATTGTCATAGCTAATGAAGAGTTAAATACAGTATTACAGTGACACTCATATATGTCATTTTGGATCGTCAAATATTATTAGTTCGTGTTGTTTCTCATGTTGATGGACAATAGAAAATCATCATATACCTATTATATAAATTAATGAGTTTAACTTATATATATGCAACAATTATATCAGTCAATAAAAAATTATAGTTAATATAATTTTTTAAAATAATTATGATAAAAAGTTAATAAAATTATTATATATTTATTTATAATTGAATGACAATGCAAAATCTTTTACACTTTACAATTTTTATTTATTTATGAAAATCTTTCATTTCATTATTTTTACGAAAGTTTTATTTTCTCATAATATATTCTAACTTTGGACCTAATTGTTCTTTTGATGATTGATTCAACAGAATATAAAGATCTATCTTATAGTTATCTGAATTATACTTTATTCCATCAACAAGTTTAGTATTGAGTATAATGTCCCTATTGTTTTTTGATGGAAAGAAACTTATCACTATCTTTTTGAAAAAGTTCTAAACGAATAATTTCTACTAAATATTTTAATTTCTTATTTTATGAGATTGTTAGTATTTATTCTTAAGATTTAAATATGTTTAGTTTTCTAAATTTGAAATAATCTTTATTTGATCTCTAAATTTGAAAATATCTTTTTAATTTATGTAATTTTAAAAATGACTTGTTTTAGTCCCTTAAATCACTTGCAATATCACTTAAAATAAAGACTAAAACAAATTTACTAACAACGTTTAACTAACTAAGTAGAAAAACTAAAATGATTATTTCTGAAATTATCATTTTAGTGAAATTTAGTGAAAAATATATTATTTCTGAAATTTAGTGAAAAAAAAATTTACCCAAAATTTAATAAACTAGAAACAAATTATCATGTTATATTATTTTATCTCTATCGTTTAAAAGGGATCCAAATCCAAATGGTGATCATGCAAAATTACAAATTCTAAACCTTAGACAAGAATTACAAAAAAAAAAAGTCTCTTCTGCCCTAGTGCTAGGACAGACAACTTCTGTTGAAAATTTTGAAAGAGATTCTTAATTCACTACAAGAAATGTTACATATAGCGACATACAAAAAGTGTCACTATAGATACAATATATGTAGGTATATGTTTATTTGACATATAGTTATGCACAATTTTAGTGTTGATTTTAGATGAGATTTAACAACATATTTTGTGTGTCAGTATAGTCTATACCCACACTTTTTTAATAATATACCAACATATATTGTAGTTATTGTGTGGGTAAAGTAATTTTTAGTGACATGTATAGTGTCACTATAGGGTGTGTGTCACTATATGACAATTTTGTTGTAGTGATTACCTCACCACATTCTTTACATAAAAGGATACCCTTAGATTTAGCGGGGCCTTTTATTTTCTTTTTCAAGAGAAGCAGGGCATTATTCCAAATTACTTTCCACGTTAATTAACGTATGTTTCAACTATATATAGTTTTATATTATATATATTAATGATAAAATGAAAATAGATATGCTACACATGCATGAAAATCCACCAATTGGGCAATTATAGAACGAAATATCAGACAACATACTATTCATAATTTCGGTCAATGCTTAACTTAAAAATTAATTAAAGTTCAATCTCAATCATCACTTTTTTCATGCACTATGCATGACGAATTTGTCATCTTCTTTGCTTTCTCAGAAATTGCTGGATTTATATATTTAGTCTGTTCTTCAAAGTAGACGCAATTGAATCAAGAAAAGCTATGTCAGTGTTTTCCTTCTTTGAGTAGTGTATCTATCATGCGCACTAAACCACCTTTAGCTTGCTTTATACTACCATTAATTAGGGAATGCACACAAGGTTGGATCTCACTTCACAAAAGGATCATAAAGCCTATATACATATATGAAAACACTATAAATCATAGAGATTATCAAGCAAATAAACCAATAACACTAGCAAAAAATACTGCATTATTTCTCAGGATCATGTTTTCTTGTCCAAGTCTTTTTGCTATGCTCTTCCTTTATGACAAACAATAATGCACTTATTTTTTTTATATATGTATAGAACTTTATATTTTGCACTATTCTTGTAATGTAACCAAATTTGACAATATTAATTAATTCCTGCAAAAAAAAAAAATCTACCCGCACAGAAAGTTGGAATCTCAAGCACTGAACAGGAAAATTAATAGTGCAAAAAATAGTTTTAAAGGGAAAGTCATGTACAATAGTCATTCCCCTTGTTGCTGGAAGTCATTCCGTACAAGTAATGTGGTCAAACTTTTGGTTTTTGTTTTTATACTTTAGAGCAGTTGTGTTGTGTGAAATACATGCAGCATGGTTTGGACATCCACCACTAGCTACCAAGTGTTTGGAAGAACCTCTACGAAATTTATTTGGGTTTATGAAATTATTATTACTTTTTTTATAGTTTTTTAATAGACCACCAGCTTCTTGGCCTTCCAAGGGTCGAATAGATCTCCAATCTCTAGAGGTAGCAAACTAATCAAATATATGCTTAGATGATTGCCCCTCTTTTTCTATCCATATTCATAACAAACTACCGAGTTTAAAAAAATGTGTATGCAAACCAATTGTTGAGAGACCCTTTCAAGTACTTCACAGAACACAAAATGTCGTGAATCTTCCATGATGTTTCGTCTTTCTTGACTAGCTTTCAGTTTTAGTTATGAGTTGATGAAAGCAAAGGCGATGTAGGAGTTACAAATTTGCTTGGCATGTGCGGAAGAGGAATAATATGACATTTAAGATTTGTGACTATAGGAATCAGAAATACATTATAAAATAATATTTAAATATTTTTGTTGATATGATAATGATGTAATATAGAGTCAACTTTTACATTATAAACAGATGATGCTTATTAATAATTTTTGGATAACAATTAAAAAGTAAAATTGTGAGAATTTATATTTAAAATAAACAATATCTTATTATTATGAAATTATGTGTAAAATAATATTATAAAAATAAAAAAATTACAAATCCTTTCTCTTAATATAAATATTATAGAGTTATATGTAAAATAATCTTATAAAAATAACAAAGTTATAAACCTCTACTCTTGATATAAATATATCCTTTCAAATAAGTTAAAAACATAATTTCAACACTTTTTTATTTATATCATTTATAAGTTACAATCATTTTAATATTAAATTATATTTTTTTACATGTAATAAAATTTATATTAAAGTACTCGTATCTTATATATTTTTCTACTAGCCTGAGTATTTAAATATATTTAAATGCCAAAGTAAACACTTAAATTTGTCTATAAATTTGAAAAACTTTCACATATTAGTTCTTGAAATTATGAAATTGTTAAATGTATCTATAAAAGTATAAATTCATAATCATGTTAGTCTAAAATTCAAAAATACGTGAGTAAAGCGATAATATTGATTATATTTAAGGACCAAAATCACTATATATAGTTAAATTTAAGAACTTATTTAATATTCTAGAGACTTGATAATTTTTTAGTTTTAAGTACCAATATGACGGTATCTTCCAAATTTAGGTATCAAAATAGGTGTTTACTCATAAATTCACCACCTCAAATACTTGGTCCTTTATATCCTTTAGTCAACTCTCCCTTATACTCACTTGATGGCCAAATTGATGCAACATGTAGGCTAAATATAGACTCTCTCACATTGGACCAACTAAACATTCCCCCTCTTGGCCGAAGATCCAACAATTGGATTGTCTATGAGAAACAATAAACAAGACTTCACCATCTATAGGCGTGAGCATGACTCACATCCCCTGGTGTATAAATAGAGAATCGCATCCAACCAGAGTTGATGCCATACACTACAATTTAAACCATGACGAACAGCTAACTAAATACAATCACATGATTTAAATCACAAAAAGGAAAAATGGTGTAAATTAAAAACCTCAGGTGCATTAACAAAGATTAATGCTTTTACTTTGGGTTTCTATATTATAAAGAAAATAGATGTAATGAAAATTATTCAACCCTAGATAATTTCGTATATATGTAATGAAAATTATTCAACTTTACATACTAACTTTCATATTATATTGCTTCTTCTCAGTGCTAATGTTGATGCATGCTAATCTTTTTGAAGCAAATTCGTATGACAGTTGGACCAATATTCAGCTACCAGCTTAGAGAATGAAGAGTTGGTATCAATAAGCTTTGAAGGCTTGTCATACTCAACCAGTTTCCCTGTAATTATCAGAATCAACATGAGGAAAAAGGTATGACTAGAGAAGTAGCATAGATGAATCTAAAAGAAAAATTGAAACGAACAACCAAGTAACATACCATAATTTGTTATCCCCCTTCCCCAATAATAATAACAACATACCATAAGATAGGACCATGACCATGTCACTGTCTATTACAGTTGGAACTCTATGAGCCACAGTTATAACTGTGCATTCTGAAAATTCTTGTCTGATGACTCGTTGTAGAATAACATCTGTGGCAGAATCAATGGAAGCAGTAGCTTCATCCAGAACAAGAATTATGTTTTTCTTAAGAAGTACTCTTCCTAGACATATGAGTTGGCGCTGCCCCACACTCCAGTTGTCACCTTCATCACTCACTGTTAAATTGATCAGAGTGAGATTGTTTCAGCAACAAGTGTATTTATTTTTTTGTTGATACGCCATGTGTAAAATTTTAATTTGAATAATTTGAAGTCATTGTTTCACTATTGTAACCAAGATTTGCATCCTCTCATTGTAGCTTTAAAATGATCTTATTTCAAAAGATAGACAAAACACTGTCTAGAAAGGTCTTGCATTTCCCACAAAGGGTCCCAGATTCCTATACTAGGATTCCACTGTCTACCCCTCTTCTAAAATTATATGGAATCAAAATGAAAGAGTCCATATCCCTACAACCATTTTTTTGAAGTTTTTCTCTTTGGTATATTGTATTTCTCTACCTATATCTTGATCTGTATCCAAAATTTACATGGCTGGCCTGAACCTTAATTTATTTAAAAGGTAGTTTGGTTTAAGTAATCGACAGTTCATGTAAAATTTTGTCAAATCTTTAATAGTGTGGATCAACAATACAGTTCTAATAATTTGATAGAACCAACTACATTTATTGATTGATTCATGAGGCTGGGCCTAACAATTGACATAAAGTTTGGTTGTTGTCACTTCCATTTAATTTTGTATGCTTAAAAATTCATAGATTTAACTCACCAGAAGTGTCCAAGAGATTTGGTAGACTACTAATTATTGCCTTAAGCTGACATTTCTCTAAAGCCTGTACAAATGAAAGCCAACAAAACCTTTTTTTAGTGAAAAGAAAAATGAGAAAAACAACTGAATTTATTGCTTATGTTTTTCGATTGTAGAGCCAGTTCACTTACCTTCCATATTTCATCATCAGAGTACAGGGCTAGAGGGTCCAAGTTGTTTCGAATGCTACCCTTGAAAAGAGTTGGTTCTTGAGGAATGATGCTTAGCTTTGATCTCAAATCTTTTAGCCCTATTGAGCATATATTAATCCCGTCTATAAGAATGTCACCTCTACTAGGCTCAACTAAGCGAAACAAAGCACTTATAAGTGTAGTTTTTCCACTTCCAGTCCTTCCTACAACTCCCACTCTACTCCCTTCTTTAAACGTACAAGAGATGCCCTTAAGGACTAATGGAGCATTTGGACGATATCTAATCTGAAATCATTCTACAGCAAATCAGACTTGAATTCTTTTGTCATGAATATGGATAAAGGTGGAAAAGAGGGGCAATCATATAAGCATATATTTGATTAGTTTGCTACCTCTAGAGATTGGAGATCTATTCGACCCTTGGAAGGCCAAGAAGCTGGTGGTCTATTGTCCTCTACAATTGCAATAGGCTCTGCTGGTATGTGAATGAATTGCTTGATTCTTTCAACCGAGATCACATAGTTTGATAAGTTGCAAAACATTCGAGTCAGGTGAACTTGGGTTGCTGTCAAAGAAAAAGCATAAGACAGAGAAAGTCCCACAAGGCCTGTAACCAGATAAACACAAAAAAAAGGCTAGAAATTATCAGCTAGACTCAAATATATGCTAATTTTGTTAAGTAACTAAAAAGTTAACCGTACCGGGGGCCACATATCCCTTTGGAAGTAGAACAAGAAGCAAAGCTGCAGTGAAGAGTGTCAAATTCTGAAGTACTTCAACCCATAAAATTAACCATTCAATGGCAGCATTAGAATGAAAGAACATCGTGGCATCTGTATCAACTAGGTTAAGGTAGTTTTTGAAAAATCTGTCAGCTATGTTGAAAGCTCTTATAGTAACCACACCAAGTGATGTCTCAGCAGTAAAATTCATAAGAGGAGCTTTGGTAGTTCCATTGATTCGTATAATTTCTCTTGCAGAAGCTTGATAATAGCCCTTACATCCAGGAAAAAAGAAAACACAGGTAAAATAACAAAACAATCATTACTTGTTCCCACCATTTGAGCAGGGCTAGGAAAAAAATACCTGAATATATTTTGAAGCCACCATAGCAAGAACTGCAACAATGAGCACTTGCCATGTGATAGAAACCATTATCCCAATCATAGTCAGAAGTTCAGTTACTTCAGCTGTTACGGAAATGGTGGTAAAAGGGATATCAAAATCTAAAATACTCAAATCTGACGAAGCCTGCAAGTGAGAGACATGTTGGGTCAAAGAATAGTCATAAGAATAGGAGTCTGTTTGGGTAAACTTCTCTATAAGTTAAAATTAGTTTATGCATAAATTATTTTGTAGAAGTTCTCTTCTATTAGAGCATCTCCAGCGGCAATTCTTATTGGAGTTCTTAAACATATTTCTCAATTTCCAATGTTGGAGTATGCCAAGTGGCTTCTACATGTAAGTTACGTTGCTTAATTAAGCAACCGTGTCTTAACTGACAAAAGGAATAAAAAAATATATTTTTACAGTAGGATGACAATTGATGGAGGACAGACTGCATTGGAATACAGGAAAAATATATTAATTATAGGCTCCATAGTTAAGTTAAGAACTTAAATAAGAAATTTACCATTGGAGCAATATTTTGTAAAAATTTCTAAATCTTACATGGAATAATGGGGTCCACTAAAAAAATCTAAGAAATTCACTTAAGCAACTAAGCATTGGAGATGCTCTTAGTTTCTCCAAAATCTTCTTTTTAACTCATGCATAAGCTACTTTTAACTTGTGGAGAAACTTAGTTTGATTTTTCTTCTCATTTTTCTCTCCTAGAAGTGCTTCGAGAGAAGCTTATCCAAACAGGTTCTTGATATCAGTCTTCCGATACAGAAAGGAATAAAGAAACCTTACTCGGGTCAAAATCCTCCCTACTGGGGTTGAATCAAAGAACAACATAGGAGCATTAAAGATAGCATCAGTGAAGGCACAGAAGAAGGCTTTAGAAGCTTTTAAACCAAGATGTGCAGCAAAGTAAGACCTCAAATATACAAAGATAATGCTTAAAAAAGATATCACACTATAAACTCCAATTAAGATGCTGCTAGTTACTTCTGAGATTTCACTGGCTAGAGCAAGCCAATAAGTTGATGCAGCCTGCAAACCTACAAAAGCCAACTGTCCTAATACGCTCAAACATAGAAACAAAGATCCCTTGGGGAACAAAATATAGTCACAAAAAGGCTTCCATCCAACATCACCAATCTCCTTTTCTTCTTCTTGTGTAAGTTGAACCTTGGTAGAAATGTCCCCATCACTTCCACCTTTAGCGAGATTAAAAACATGAGAATCCTCAGGCTGAACTGTAACCACATTTTCAAATTCTCTTTTGTTTGCACCGCTTTTTTCTATCCCTGTAATTGCCTCTCTATGAGCACTCAAGAGCTGTTCAAAGGCTGTTCCAGCTGTCAGCAGATCTTCATAACTACCCGATTGAGTGATTTTACCTCCTTCCACTACCTAAAATTGCAGACACAATTTGCTTACTAGCGAGTTAAGATCAAATAGAAATAGAATTTGAATATGAGATAGTACCAGGATTTTATCAACTTGTGAGAGAAATTCAACTTGATGAGTCACAAGAATAACTGTTTTCCTTCTTAAAGCAGTCATGACACAATCCTGAAATTGCATAACATAAATCAGAATAGTCTCCAGAATATGAGGGTATGAGCCTATGGTTTTCATCATTTTAAGAATCAAAAAGTGGTTCAAGTTACATTAAACAGAATAGAAGCGGTATGAGCATCTACAGCACTAAAAGGATCATCTAGGAGATAGATATCAGCATCATTATAGACAGCTCGAGCAAGTTGAATCCTTTGCTTTTGTCCTCCACTCATGTTAATCCCTCGCTGACCTATTTCTGTAAGATCACCATGGCTAAATCCATCAATATCTTTATCCAATGCACAGACCTTAATGGTATACTCATACCTGGTTTCATCCATTGGTTTTCCATAGAGAATATTATCACGAATTGTACCACTTTGGATCCAAGGAGTTTGCGAAACGTAGGCAAGTGTTCCACCTACACTAACCTGTTTTCCATTTTCATAACAACAGAAAAGAAAAAAGAAAAAAGAAAAGAGTTTAAACGTTATCACAATTACTTGGTTGTTTCATTCTTGACATGATAGTATACTAAATTTGCATGGTCAATAACTCACAGTTCCTGAAATTTTGGGTATCTCTCCAAGTATTGCATATAGGAGAGATGTTTTTCCAGCTCCAACTGGGCCACAAACTGCCACTGTCTGCCCCCACTTGATCGCAAAATTCACATCTCTCAAAGTTGGAGGCACTGATTGCTGATCCCAACTGAAGTTGCCTTCTAGGATTTCAACACTTCTGCTGCAAGAATCTTGTTTTGAAGTTCTTCTAATATCATCACTTTTTATCTCATCATCAAGCAAAAAGGTGTTGAGACGATCAAAGGATACCTTAACTTGGATCAGAACAGAAAGTGCTTCTGGAATCAATGCGACAGGCTCTCCCATGCTTCTCAATGCTGCAATAACTGAGAAGATAGTTCCAGCATTCAAAGGGGCACTCTGCAAAAGTGCACAACCCATGAAAATAACTGAAGAAATGATGGAAGGAGACATCCAATAAATAAATGCTCCATAAGCTTTCATGAACTGTGCTTCAGCCAGACATTTAAACTCTCTAGCACGAAGTGATTCAACTAACTTCTTGAACTTATCCTCCCATGATTGCAGCTTTATGATTTTCATACTACTTAGAATCTCTGAAGTTGACCTCAGACGCTCATCTTGTGCAATCATAAATTCTGACCTCCATTTTTGAAGGATCTTTGCATATGGTACATTGAGAAGTCCACAAATGAGAAGAGGCACTAAACCAGGAAGAGCACCTAAACCCACAACTGTAGAAAAACTAAGAGAGACGAGTAACACTAAAATGTTTTTGCCGATTTGAGAGTCATGATCCTTGTGAAAACATTTTGTGAAACACAGGCAAAGAGACAATTTTTTGCCTTTGCCTTCTTGATTTTCCTTTCCTTGTGAATTTTCATTTCATAACTCATAAAATATAATGTGCTATATAAAGATAGATTCCGCTGCATGAAAAGTTAGGTCCCTTGTTTGAGAGGAGGATTGTTGGGATACAAACAAGTCCCACATTGATAAAATAAAACAACAAATAACAACTTATATAATACAAACATACTTCAATGATTGAGAGGCCTTTTGGGTGATGACCAAAAGCAAAACCGTGAGGGCTAAGGCCCAAAGCGGACAATATCTCATCATTGTGGAGTATGTTTGT